TATATATATATATATATATATATATATATATATATATATAATCAGATAAATGAAATACTTTTAAAAGAAATTCATTTATCATCAAAGCTGCAAGCATCCACTTCTTAGACGGAAATAGTAGAAGAAGGCTCGTTAGGGTCTGGAAGAGTTTTTTGTTGTTCCATCTTTGAGGGTTTTTCTCTTTGTTTTTTTGATACTCTCCACAAGACAAAGATCAGTACATACACCAGAAGCCCAGCAGCAACCATAATACCGTCAACAATTATAAAGTTATTAGGAGATTCAAATTCAAGAACCTTCTTATACCACAGCATACTAATAAGAACAAATACACCACCAGTAGCTGAGGTAAGCCCTGTTAGCTTTCCAAAGGCATGTTCGGGGAAGTTGATAGAAATAAAGCAATATACATTACTCAGCACAAACGAGGTGTATACGAAGAAGAAGAAGACAGAAAGGCCTTTGCATGCAATGCGATCAAACACAAGGAACAGAAACATTAACACCCCTGCACTATTCAACAACACCAGCACTAAGATAATACCGTACTTGTCTACCAAACGCCCGAAAATAGGCCCTGGAATGAAACTTAAGATATTGAATATTGCAAATAGCTGGTATAGATCTCTTCCATCAGAAGTCAGTAACTGTTCTTTATTTGATTTTGCATAGAAATCTGAACGCACCAGAGCGCAAACAAAGATAGGAAGCAACAACAAAAACTTCGGATCTAGAAGAAGCTGCCAGAAAGAACGTGTATCTTTTTGTGGTGATGCTCCTGCTGCTGTAGAAACAGATCCTTCTTCCTTTGAATCTTCTCGTTGCTCCTGATCCTGCTGCTGCAATTCACCCCCTGCTGCTGCTTCTTCTCCTGCTCCGCCTGCTGGTGTTATAGCAGGAGCTTTGAACGACGCCATAGGAACAAAGAAAAGCGTTACTAGCAGAGATATACCCTGACCAACCCCAACATATCCCACGCACATCTTCCAAAGATCGCCTGGAGCAAAAGAAGCACTCTGGAAGACAGCAGACATAACCACTGGTATTGCAAAGGAGATTGAACGTACAGAGCCCATGATCGAGATAACAAAAGAAGAGTTCTTGGGGAATAATTTACTCACAGACAACAAAGGTAAATACCCAGGGTCAGCAGACACTCCAATGCAGAAAGCTGCTGCATAGTAAGCCCGGAAGCTCTCCCCAGAGAAGCCCAGCAACAGCCACCCCGCAATATCCATCACTATACCAAACAGCATCGTTATCTTCGGTCCTACAGCATCTAATATAACGCCAGCCAAGAAAGAAGACAGCATATTGGAGCCGAGAGCAGTTGTAAAGATACCCCCAAGCATCTGCTTTCTTGCAGGGCAATCTACATACTTTTCATTACCTATCCTCAACTCTGTTATCGCATCGGGATCATCACACTCCCATAGATAGGCTCCTGACTTGTACAGCATCTCCTGAATGCCGTTCCAACCCCAGTATGTGCAGCCCCGCACCAATACAACCAACAAGTACAAAAATAATAATAGATATCGATTCAAAGGCACGTGCAGGCGCCATGCCTTCAGCCCTCCGCACGTCTCCTTACTCTCCTCCATCGTCTTTATGTTCAGATCCGAACTAGAAACAGAAAGGAAAAGAGAGGAAAACAGCCGACAAAATAAAAAGAGAGACAAAGAAGAAAGACTCAGCCAGGCTGTGACAGAAGAGCGATTATATTAACACCAAGAAGACCAAAGATGCCCTGACGGCGCCGCCCTTAGCAACAAAATCCAAAACAAAAAGAATAGAAATATACAAGGAACCGACTGCACTGTACGTAAAGCCTGTCTGTCGGCTCCTTGTTCTTGTTCTCTTCCCTCTCGCAACTCCTTGCAAGAGTAATATACTGAGAGGGGAAGAGAAGCCTTTTAGCTGCCTGCTGTGTCTCTTTATGTAAAAAGAGACACAAATGAAAGAAAGGAATCGGAAATATACAACTTGCCGACCTACGAAACGTCTACACAAACAAACAACTACAACAAACAGCAACCCACAGCCATCCGAGCCCCACAGCCTCGCGCGAGCAGCAGCACCAGCTGAGATAGAGACAGAGGGCGCTTTTAAAAAAAACAACAACCCTATCGAAATATAAAATTATTTTATAGTATTTTATCTTTTTCCCCAGCAAATCGACTGGCTTTACCACCCATTTTACTCACATCAAAGACCTGCTCTTAAACGTGGGCGTTGTAAGTTGAACATGAACGCTGACTGCCCGTAGGTAGGAAGTCTGCAGGCAAGCAGAAGAACAGCAATTCCCTATAGTTTTAGTGCAGATATTAAAAAGAAATTTACTTGTGATTGCATGAGAAGGTGCTTTCTAGCGTTAGTTGCGATGATACTTGCTGCAACCCATCTCGCCACCTCCTTTCCCCCAGCCCCAGGCGGTTGGCCACCCAGTTCAGAACCTTGGGGGGCGTGAGGGGTGGTTTGCTGCTTCGTTTGAAGCCTTACCCTAAATCTTCTACCTGCAGCATCTCTTTAATGAGTAGGAAGCTCCTCGCTTCTCCTTCTTTGGGGCACTGTTTCCTCTCCCTGCACCGTAGAAAGTAGGAATAGTGTTCTGCTCCCTTAGAAGTGCACGCGCTTACACGCCTTCCCCTGAGATAGATATCAGTTTAAGGTCGTCTGGAGGACACGTATACGATATCCACTGCGTCAGCCACTCGATATATTTAGTATTAGTATTGGGGTAAGACGTCGTGAGCGCGGCGGCCTGTGGGCCGGGTGTTGGCCGCCAAGAGCTGCAACATATTTTTGTGCAAGTGGCATCTAGGCGGAACCCTTCATATACTGACACTGTTGACAATTGTTAAAAATTTTTAAAGCTCTCAATAGGAAGCAGCCTATTAGAGCAAAAAGAGAAAGTTAAAATGTCTGATCTTGTGTTTAAGAACTCCTGCGTGGGCTAGCACTGTCGTCATTGGGATAAGTCATGAATACAAACGCCGATACCCAAACATTTTAGATTGGAATAGAACGTACTTACGATATAAGCACAATATTAGTGAAAGACAAACCCAATTCCCTCGGCGGGGCTTCGAATCGACGCTATAGTGCAGTGGAGGAGCGTACGGTTCCTCACGGACTAAAAACTCACGAAGAACGAATTGTCACGCGAAATTTTCACTAAAGTGCACGCATTTCGCCCCCTTCGCATATCTTTCTGTGCCAGCCCCACTCGCCTCCTGGAATGGGAGGAATGCTTCGAGCAGTATCAGGCTGCACGACCCAATGCAACGCGGTTGCTCCCGTCACCCTCATGCTCGTGAGAAAACTTCTAGGAGAATGGGACCACTAAGGATAGGCAGGCAAGGTACGCAGACCACAGGATGACGGGTCCTATCTCAGGGCATGCGACTAAATTCAGGGCTCCGTATGCAACTCTATAAGGAAACTTACCCGAATTGCACCCACTTCCAGACTCTCTCTCAGCACATTTTCCTGGTAGCTTTCTACGTATAATGTCGACGGTTTTCACATTGGCCCGTCAAAAATTACGCTCACTGTCCACCTGAACGCTGATACAAGTGTTCGTTAGCTGCATTATCCCAGCAGATACGTCTTAAAGTTCTGGGAAGCCAAGCTTCATGCTTTCGTAGTCGTGTAGGCACTACCACTTTCAGGTTGGGACCGCATGATTTGCAGCTTTTCATGCATATGATAATGGTACCCGGCAGCAGCCTGCCCCGATCTCGCGAAAGGTTGTACGCCCTCATTGAATCCATTCCAAGGCAGGCCCGAGGCCAGCCGAGACACCGCTTATATTGATGGGGATATTCAAGAGATGGGACAACTCATGGGAACCTAGTCGTGATATCTTTGAACGTGGATTGGAATCAAACTCGAACATCAAACATTTCACGGTTACCACCTCCGCTGTTCGGCCATGTTGTAACTATATATCGCACCCAATTGTTCAGAGAAAGCAAGGGCCTTCCAACCCGCCAGTGCGAAGCGCTTATTCAGTAGTAGTCTATTATGTTTTGGGGCCCTTTGCCAGCCTTGCCAGAAAAAGACTGGCACTGATAGTCGTAGCGTGTACCAAAGACAGAAGTGGAGTCATTTTGCATGGATATTCTCCAGTCACAGTAACGGCTTGGCTGTGGTTCTAGACAGGCTGTGGCCCTTTCTAAGACCAGTCTCGCCCGAACGATCTGCATATTGGCTGGGGCTTGTAAGGGCCGGTCATGACTACCAACGCTGTGCTGTCAAGACTATAACACTATCGTAGTGTCATCTCGAGACTAACAAAATAATGATAAGTACGGAAAGCCGTCTAACTGGCATTTCGAACAAACCTCCAAACAATGTTGGGTTGTAGGTTGCAAAGCGCCTGAGCTCGTACGCAGGTCCCCTCAATGAATGGGGCTACAGTGGACAGTAAGATACGTTTCTGGCTTCCATGCTGCCCTGGTCAAGAAAAAAGACAGAGCAAGCGCTTTTGCACTGCTGAATCAGCTCCTACAGGTGAACAGCGAGAAAAAATCCATGGGAAGCTCAGAAATGGTCTTCAATGTGACCAACTTGATATGGAAAATTAAGGATGCCTAATCGTGGCAATAAAAGGCAAGCTGGGCACATGCGTTTTTAATGCCCTTTTTAGCTGCCTTTGTTTTGCTGGCCACCTTTATATAAAGGACAGGAAACACTTTATAAGGTGTGGCCATTGGACTGGCATGCCTTCAACGTCTCCATCGCTGAAGAATGCTGTTAAGCTCTAGGAGGTGCTGCCATTTTTGCAGCTCTGCCATTTCCAAATGGCATCCCGAGCGATGCACGCGGAAACTTCCTAGACTTTTGCTGCTTTCTGAGGTGACGTCCAGGGATGCGTCCGTCGCTCGTGGAGTATTAAAACCACTGCTAGTGTGTACATCGTGATGGGGAGTTGATATTTCCGTAGAGTGGCAGCAGTCCATAATGGCTGCGCTGGTGGATTCTCTCCAGTTACTCGAGCTGTCAACAGGGCAACTAGAACTGGCAGTTGCCCTGCCAGCGTCGTCTATCACCTCTTCTTGTCGAGAGAAACACCTCGGGGACGCAGCCTTCGGGTAAGCTGTCCAATTTCTAGAGAACAAGGTGCCACTTGAATCTTCTCTAGAGTAGTTTGCCAGTGCCATAAAGTCCTCTGAATGTGGATTACTGCTCACGTCCGTGGGTGGAAAACAACTATGGAATGCCGATTCGGCGAAAACAGGAACGCCAAGTTGCAATGTATCTTTAGCAGTGCCACGAGCTTGGGAAAATTGGGAGGTTGTTGTTTGACTCGTATGTCGCGTCACACCTGCAGGAATTTGCTCGAGCCCTTCAGTACTAAGCTCGACTTTTGCGGGGTTCTGACGCAGCGGTGAAATCTTCGTTGTCGGGTCATTCATACCTCCACTACCTATTCTGCAGTTGCCAAAACTGAATGAACTGTAGTCTGAGGACGACTCGTGAACAGCTGAAGTTTTCTTCGGTCCTGCTGTTTGCTCTGGAAAACGCAAGCAGGATTCAGGCGACCTGGGCAGTCCTTTTGCTCCCTCGCAGTCAGCTCCGCGAGAGTCAGTAGAGTTGTTGCGCACCGAAGTGGTGCATGGAATTTTGGAGGCGCTTCTACTCCTGTGCCGAAGGCGAGTGAGGCGTATGCCATCACGAATATGTGATAAGAATCGGCTGGCAAGGCTTCGGCCTGCCGACGTGCAGTGTGGAGAGCTACTGTACAGATCTTCACACGGTGCATAAGGCAAGGCAGAAGAAGACACGCCCTGGACTGGCCTTGGGCGAGATTCTTTTGGTGACTCGCTAACTATTCTGCGTGGGTTCAAGAGCCCTTCGTCGACTTCGCAATTCTGCGGGCTTTTGCTTTCCTTTGCGTTGGTGTGAGCGCCCAATTGGGGGGATTTTGCTGCCGAAGAGCAGCTTGGTATTCTGCTGTCCGAGGGCATTGCAGCTTGCGGTTGCGACGGCTCCTTGGCGTCGTTAGCTGAAGCTTCTCTCCAATCCTCCATACTAGATTCGCTCGTTTCAGCTCGGTGGGATCGTTCATTTTTCGTGGTCGCGGAGGCATCGTCATTTGGCCTAACCACCAAAGGAAATGTTGGATTCTCTGTAGTACGACGATGTGTCACATGACACGGAATAACTGTACTAGGAGGGGAGGATGGGCAGGCAATCTTCACGTCTTCCACTACTGCTGACTCCCCCAATGTTTGGCCGTTGAATGCCGTCTTGGAAGCCATGTAGGCTCGTGAGGAAGATTTCCGGAGTGGTGAGTACGTTGCTATGGTGGGATAAAGACACCTGCATTTTTGCGGGCTGCTCGCTGGAAATCGGGTACTCCCGGGGATGACGCATTGCACTGTTGTTTGGATACACTTATGAGAAGAAGGACACATTGGGGGACTATGAGCAGGCGAAACGGAGATTACGGACGGTGGCAGAAACCCTGATCCCGATGGAATGACTGAGCAGCTTCTATCCACATCGCTTGCTTTCATTGTCGCACAGTTTCCGGACGCCAAGTGAACTGCTGCGCCATCAACTGTTGTTGCGTGCTCTTCCATCTGCATTGGGTTCGATAAGGAAGAAGACTGATCTTCCAAAACAACTGTACTAGTTATAGAGGAACGCATGCCTTCACGAAGAAGGTGTAACGGCTCAGAGGGAGTGAAGGATGAGAAAGGGCAGCCAGGCGAAGATGCGCAAAGAGGCCGATGACCAAGCGTACTCTCTAAAGGCAGTTGCAGCGTAGTGCGAGGGCTTCCCCCACATGCACGAGGAAATCCTTTCACAGCTGCACGCGTCGTAGTTGTGTTTGCCGTTGCGCGTCGTCTGGGTTGGAGTAAGCCATCATAATAGTGCTGAACGCAGGGCCAGTCTTGTTGCTCTCTCAACTTTGGTAATCTGCTAGCACCACTTGCACCGTTCTCATGAGAAAATGTGTCCTTTGAAAATGCTGCTGCATCTGTACATTCATAGGAGCAGCCTTCTTCCTTGCTAGTGCTTCGGTGAGGAACCTGCTGAGGCTGTGGAAGGGACTCATTGCAAAACATATAGCTCTTCCCGTCATTACTCCCTATTTTAAACATAAGTCCACTCTTATTTGTCTGGTGTCCCTCTTCTAATCCTTCCTGTTTCCTAGAAGGGAGATGATCCTGAATAATGGCGGGTTTGCTCGGCAAGGCCACTTCCTCGTGACTGCGCGTGCACGTCACTGCCCTTAAACACCCACCAGTTTCACCATTTCCACCTTCAGCTTGAACAGCTTTCATTGATTCTCCCAGGAATGAAGTACAATTATTCTGGTCTTGTTCATTTGCAGTCGAGGCCGACTGACGTGCGTTGGCCTGCGCATTCCTCTCCTTGGTTCCTGTAAGAGGAGTTTGGTTTGGTATTCCGGAACTGCGGCAGGGGAAAGCGTTTGCCTCATCTTGTGAACAATAAGCTAGCTGCGCAAGGGCAGGTGACCCTGTAGTCAGCAACCCGGGGGATGATGAGCATCTCACTTTTGCCCGTTGTGCAAAGCAGATTGTAGGGCACTGCCGCGTTATGCAAACGCATCGTGATTGAGGATTATGCAGCCCTGTTTTTGGGCCTGCGTTTTGCACGTCCTGTTCAGTCTTCTCTAAGTGCTCCTGTAGATGGCTTCCGCCCAGAACAGTACCTGAGTCAGCTAAACTCTCCCCAGATAAGCCACAACGCCCAGGTGAACTGCCCCCTACGGACCTCCGGGGGCAGCAACTTATTTGGATAGCCAGGGAACACTCTTTCGAACAGGCAGAATCTTGAATCATGCTTCCCGTTATAGAGGGGGGATGTGCGGATGCAGATCTGGCTGCTGCTGCAGGGGCGCGTTCAAAAGCCTCGGTGGCGGAAAGACCACATGACCCAATGTTGGTTAGACTAAACCCAGACTCCCAAAAATCACCCGATGGAGCGGACAACTTCTGACGTTCAAGTACTATTGCTGGCTTTTCGGCTGGCGTCGCAGCGAAGGACTTGCTCTTACGCCCGGTCGCAGTATCTCCCACTTCCGAGCAGTCATTTTTGTTGCAACAGCCAAATATAACCGGGCCTTCGCTGCTCCCTGTACCCAACTTTACAAGAGAGCACTGGATGCCGCATGAACCTTTTCCAGGGATGTCAGCATCTTCTTGTCTCTTTGTACAAGAAGGTGATTGCTGCTCGTTACGATGATGCAGGGCATTTCTGTTGCTGTAGGGCGAAGGGAAAGGACCCAGGAGCGGACTGAGAGGAAAGGCAGTCAGTTGCATGCGCTTCAAAAGAGAAAATAACGCCCATGCAGCTATTAGAAAATTTGCAGATTGCCGTGGAAGTGTGCTTCTGGCGGGTGCGGAGTAAACGCTGCTCTCTTTGACACACAAACTAAGGAACGTTTCCTACCAGCATGCCAAACGCATTCATAATGTACAATTGAAGTGGTGCAACGACAGCAGCCGTGGCTTAATATTTATTCAGTAATGCAGGCGCAGTCGAAATCCCGTCGAAGAACAAGCTTCGCCGGGAACTAACGCGTGAGTGCATTTGTTTGCGTGCAGTGCTTCAGCTAGTGCTACTGTTGGCTATGTACCTTTCCTGCTGCCGCGTCGGGGGGTGGAAGAGGACGCCCACCTGATTTTGCATGGTTTGCTGCCCCCCATGAATCTGTTGACAAAGCCTGGCGCCATCTTCAACAATCGGCGGGTCGTGCTGCAGTTGTGCCTTCCGTGCTGGCCTATCTGATGCTGTAGGCGAGTGTATTTGCACCTTTGAAAATGTTTTATTGCCACTCTGCCCCAACGGCGCATTGTGTGATGCTCCTGTATGGAGCCTAGTTGGTGGTTTTGTCCCTGACTGGCTTTGACCTTTAGGCTGTTTCGCCCCATCTGTTTCCTCGAGGGAGGGTTGAGGCTGCTCTCGATTTGTTCTTCGTTTAAACGTGAACTCGAGGTGCTCCACAGCACCGCCCTGAGTGGCTTCTTTTGCTGCATCAGTGGTTTCCTCGCAATCCGCAGAGCTACAATAATCCTCAGCAGCTGGAGGCAGTTCTGTGCGGTGATGCCGCTCTTCCAACCACCTACAAGGAATACGCTTTGAATGCGATTGGCACTCAGGCAGAGCATTCACAGCCGGCGCTTGAACCTCGTCCAAGTTTCGGCATTTCAACTTGCAAATGCGATCTCCCTCTTGAAACACACAGACACAATGAGGGGCCGCCTCAAGCGTACACTGCCTGCTGAGTGAGGACAACGTCGTCTTCGTCCCTGAGCAAAGCTTTTTTCCCCTGGTACCGGGACAAACCTGGAAGCTCTCCTTCCCGTTTTGGGAACCTGTGGGGGGTGCCTGTGTATGCGTCAAATTGACCTTTTTTTGGAGAATATGGAGCCCGATCCGAAGACTTTGAACCACCATTTGCAAGCGCATCCAGCTGGCTGGGACCTACTTCACATCAGATAGAAAACTTTGCCTTTCTATTAAGAACTAAGTTCGAGTACGCAGTGCAAGCCCCTTTCCTAAGCTTGCCGCAACGCCTTAGTCAGTCAAAGGTTTCGACCCACCGCTTTCCTTGAAGTATAAATCAGGATGGAATTTTCCAGTTGGCACATTACATGTAGAGGCCCTTGATTGCCACAGCTGCTGCTGGGCGCGATTCCTCATATCCTCTTCGACAAAGTGACCAGCGAGCCCACATAGACACGGTTTTATTTCTGAACGAGCGGCTCGGCCTCTACAGGATTTGCCGGCATGGTGCACCCCGAAATCTGGATTTGGTGAACCAGTGAAGCAAATTGACCTCGTTGTAGGCTGAACAACTACCGAAGGATTTGCGTGCTCATCTAAGAGGCCACGCTTGTAAAATACTGTTCGGATCTCGGTGCAGTCTGTGCAGCCGTTGCAACGTCCTTGTACGGAACCTCCTCTTTCCAAACTATGGGACCGTTTAGACTGTGGAACATGCATGAGCGACGAAGGTCCCAAGATAGCAGTGTCTTCTGCGAATTGTCTGGTTGTTGCATTGTTGGATTCGGCTCCAGTCAAATAGTTCCTGTCCACGCAGCCGCGCTTTACAAAGGACTCCTGGATGGGACAATCACCCGGAAGGAGCTGTTCTTTCATCCAGTTTTGTGGAAATCCCGACACAGGCTGTGGTCCGCTTGCCCCAAGTGGGAAGCAACCTAAGGCATCGGCTGTCTGTCCTTCCGAGGACAATGCAAGGTTGTTAAGCGCCGCACGAAAACTGTGTGGATAATACGGAGCAACGCTTGGACAGTTTGAGCGGGTAGGAGAAAGGTGAGAAGTGTGCTGACAGGCAAGATTTGCAATTTGCTGGCCTGCATGGCGTGCCACTCCTGCGTCTGACGCCAGTTGGGATGCATCTGACTTGGACATTGAAAGAAAGTTTGAGCGCATCGATTCACGCGCAGTACAAGCTGATTCAGGTTCTGGAAGCAACTGTGGACGATGCAGAAGCACCTCACGAGTCTTGCCAGACGGACGCGCGCTGGGTCTTGCTGCGGATGATGTTGCTCCGCATCGCTCAAGGTCCCCTGCAAAACCATGCACCTCGGCGGCACCTCGTAAGCTAGTCTTAAGAGCATAAGGCGATATCTAGGGGAGGCTACAGACATTGACGTGCACTGTAACACGGTCTTTTGACTCACGGGAATTCCCGCATGTTTGCAACCATGGCTTGGTCAATCGGGTATCGCCGCCACTTATGTCAACTTTCATCGGATCGAAAATGGCATTTGGAGCCTTGCTGGGCCCAGAATAATTCGAATGCAAGTGGGTTCTTTGGTTCAGATGCAGCTGATCTTTACCGTGGCCGTCCTTCAGATATTTAGCTCCCTCTGATGGACACTCAGCTCCTGCCCGAATATCTTTGGCATCCAGAGATGGCAAAACGTTCTAAAACACAAGCAGTCCAGCAAACGCAACTTTCCCCCGGCTCGCAAGCTCACTAATTTCATACCCACGGGCATCCATTCTTATGCATATGCAACAGGCCACGCTACACAAAAGTGGTGCCATGACCTGCAACTGGCTTGCCGTGCAGTCCTTATATGAACGGCATTTTAGCTAATCCACGCCCGATATCAAACCCTTATTTGTTAGCGCTGTTGAAGCTCCACTAAGCCAAGTAGGCAAATGCAGCCCTCGCTGTCTAGGACAGATCACGAATGAATGTCTTACATGCCGCGGTGAAGTCAATCCCAACTCCGCCTGTTCACGTTCTAACGAGGCACGTTTTTCGTGAAAAGCGTCCCTACCCTCCATTGCTAGCGCTTGCCGTGAGCATGGTATGAACGTTGGCAGACTGCTGCTTCCTGCTGATGAGCGTCTCGGCGCTTCTCTCCGGCTTTCGTGTTCATGCGCGTCTTGACTGCATTTCTCCTTTTCTGCCGAATTGGTGCGAGTAAATAGAACACGCTGTCGTGGGTCGGTTATGAAGGATTGCCTAACTTGTCGTCGTGAAGAGAACGCTGCATCATGCGTGCCATCTGCGCGAGCGGGCCTTTCGTCGGCAGAAGCATAGGCAACCTGGTGCGGTGGTTGCTGATGCGAGCGTGCTATGAACATGGGTAGGCTGTGGCTACCCGCTGATGAGCGTCTCGGTGCTTCTCTCCGGCCTTCGTGTTCATGTGCATGCTGACTGCGTTTCTCCTTTTCCGCAGAGTTGGTGCGAGTAAATAGAACGCGTTGGCGTGGGTCGGTTATGAAGGACTGCCTAACTTGCCGACGTGAAGCGAAAGCAGAGTCCTGCTTGTCACTCGTCACTGAGGATGTTTCATCGTAGGATGCGTCTGAGTCATAGCGTCTCTGCTGTTGGTTGGAACGTGCTATGAAGAGTGGCAGGCTATGGCTTCCTGCTGATGAGCGTCTCGGTGCTTCTCTCCGGCTTTCGTGTTGATGTCCGTGTTGACTGCGTTTCTCCTTTTCTGCCGAATTGG